AAATGACAATAGTAAAATATCAATATGGGAATTCTATGGTGCGAATTATATTAATGGCATGTACAGTTGATTCAAATTTCTTAACGTCACGTCACTTCAATTTTAAGGTACTCGATTATACACTGAGAACCAAATTTGTCTGACGGCATGAGTTCAATGTGTACGAGAGAGAAGTATGTATAGACATATATGTTAGAAACAGATAGAAGCCGGCGAGGTAGCGAAGCTCATCACGCGTTGCCTAGCAACGCTGACGCGGCGATGTGCCGCGTTTCCAATATGTTACACCAAATCCTTGAATTAAGATGCATGATGAAAATATACGTTTGTTTACTCTCTACGCCCAAATAATGGCTTTATTTTGAGCGTACACATTTTTTAATCGCGAATTGTGTCGAATCTGTTTAGGATCGATTCCGGATCATAAAACAAAATATTAAGTTTAATGCTCGAACAAACCTCCTTCTTGAGTTTGGCAGTAACCTAACATATTGTAGAAGTCTGTGAGAACATTTTCATATTGGCAACGCGGCAGACTGCACGACCTTCTGCGTCACCATCACTAGGCAATGTGGTAATGACCTTCGCTCTCCAGCCGGCTTCTATCTCTTTCTAACATGTGTTGATGCACACTTCTCGCGTTTCTCTCTTGTAGGCATTGAACTCAAGCCATCAGAGAAATTTGGTTTTCCCGGAGAACCATTCATGCCAGCTTTAAAATGGTACACGCAGCCAATTTTGAACAGATCGTATAGCGCCAATGGTTATATTATTGTTAAAACTTAAAATAATTCAATGCGCATATTCTGTGAATTTGAAGCTACTGATTTTGAATGGAGGAATATGATGACTTACATTAATGTTTGAAGAGGAGGGGCTGCAATGACATTGAGCTTACACATCTATCTATTGTATGTTGTTTGAGGACACTCTGTAGAGTGCTTTGGAGAGAGGGTATCAAATTGATGTGATATATACAGACTTTTCCAAGGCATTCGACAGAGTTACCACAGTATATTGCAGAAAAAAATTAGTCTCTTTGGCACTCTGACATTATGGTGCCTTGGTTTGACAGTTTTATCTCTGATAGACCTTAACAGGTGCGAAATGGTAGTGCCAGGTCTCACTATATCAGTGCTTCCTCTGGTATAGCTCTGGGTGGTCATTGGTCCCCATTACTCTTTAATATTATCATAAATGACATTTCAGTTTGTTTTGAAAATAGCAAATTTTTGTTGTTTGCAGATGATTGAAAATTTATTAATCAGGGGCAGGTTCTGAGCAGGATTTGATGTTGCAAAAGGACTTGAATAGGCTGAGTGATTGATGTGTCAATAATAATTAACTTTAAATATTGGTAAATGTAGCCACATTAGTTTTTACAAGTCATAAAATAGACTCTTCTTATACTACAGAAAACAATCTTGAATATTGCAATGTCATAAAATATCCTGGTCTACTTGTTTGATGATCAAAGTTTCAGCACACATATAAGCACTATTGTACTTGAGGCTTCCAAAATCGTTGGTTTTGTGTTACATAATTGTAGGGAGCTATCTATAAAAACTTGTGAAAAAGTATGTCATTTGTGGTGTCTTTGTTGAAATATGGATCAGAATTTATTAGGTTTTGTCTTTGTAAGCTTCATATTAGAATTCCTGATGATCATGTATATCTTAATGCACTGAATGTATTGAATGTGAAAGGCATCTTCAAAATCATTTATTGTTTGTGTTAAGGTTTTGTTTAAATGAACAACCTGATTAAAAGTGAGTATGGTATTGTAGCTCAGTACAGTGATAGAAAAGTGATCTCTGCCAGGCTTTTTGGATAATGAATTGCAGGTTCTTATCTGTGGTTACAAAATATGTTTGCAAAGTAAATTAGTACATACTTACCCATATTGTGGTAATGCGCATGCCAGGATGACCAGTGTCATTCCAATTGAACCCGCAAAGGCCAATGATATCAAACTACAAGAAATACACTTATTATTAGTAAGAACAATATATTTTAATAATGAACACTTACGCTTTGTTTTGAAGTCCATTATAATATAGCGCAGTATGGTGAAGTCACATGAAAGAAAGAAATTTGTTTAGTATTGGTAATGGACAAATGTGTACCATATTATTTGAATATACATGTAATAGAAACACTTCTTTCTTTATCCATAGCAAGAAATGGTATTGCTCAAGGTGAATCATTCTTAAAATTATCTCCATTGATTTTTCCATTCTGTAGAATACTTTTCGGTGATTACCTTTTATTCCAGCCATTTTGATAATTTCTTGTTTTTCTTATTCAACTGTACCTTTTTAACGCAAAAAATCACATAATTTGACAGCAAAGTGCTTAAAAAACAGCTAGAAGACAGTTTTCATAAAAGTAAATAGAAAATGCAAAATGATAGTAGCAGCGTTGCCAGACAGCTGGAGTGATTCATCCTAAATATTAATAATTATATATTGATATCACATAGAATTTTTTCTCACACATATTTCAACATCAGCATATTTTATTTGGATAGTTAAGCCATATAATAAACAAATAACTAAAGTTCTGGTTGTTTGACAAACGAGGATTGTTTCAATTTCATAGGTGGATATAAATCCACCAAACATAGTGGAAATTTTACCACCGGCAACGTTGCTACATTTGATAGGTACCGAATGACAACAATATTTCTTGACAGATTTGAGCCACTCTTAAGACCAGTGTTACCAAGTCTACCGATTTTTCGGTAGATCTACCGATTTTGGTTCTGGTCTACTACCGATTTTAAAGCAAAATCTACCGAAAAGTGGACTTTTCTTTCAATTGAATAATTTTTGTTTCATATATATATATCTGATGCATAGTGATAAAAAGAATGACAAAAGTACTATTATTATTCGTACTAGACCAGATATATTTTTATTCTCTTTGTTTGACATTGGTGTGCCACATTCGCTGATTCTTCGCATCTGGGGTATAACCGAAGATAGTCGATTATTTGGCTACATCGCCTAGGCCTAGCGGCTCGTTACAAGTCCATGCCTGAAGTGTACGATTTGTATGATTTCGTGTACTTAGTAATTCCGAATTCGGCCAGTATTAGTATTGCCTGTCTTGTCCTGTCATTATTTTTTTCGCGTGGGTATGCCCACAATATAAGGAAGACTGGGAAGAATTGCCAGATTTCCAAGGCTGGCTTAAAAAAGCAATAAAGGACGCGATTATGCGAAATGCATGGTCTATGATAAAGATATTAATATCAAAAGTGGAAGAGATGCACTTATAAAACACGCAAATGGGCAATTTCATAAAAAAATGCAAACTATAGCAAAACAGACAAAACTGTTGTCATTTGCAGTTGCAGGTGCATCAAAGAAATTGGAAAATGATATTAAAGGAGGTAAAATTAATTAACCTATTTGAGAAGATTTGAGATTATATAGATTATTTTATTATTTCCAGGAGAAATTCGCTTGAGCGCATTTTTGGCAGAGCATAATTTGCCATTCTTGCTGATGGACCATTTGGCAAAGCAAAATTAGTAGATAATATGACTGATAAAAACTTATACAAAAATGAATCGGAAGAATGATTATTCAATATAGCTTACACATTTTTTGTTTTATTCACTTTTTCTGTTTTTTATTAAGAATATTTTATTTTTAGTTAGCTAAAGTGAAATATAAACTGTTTATTTTTGTTTTATCTTTCTGTTTTAGAGTATAATTTGAGTTAAATAAATTTTTTTTAAGTAAATGCCTTCATTTACTCTTCGGTATTCGATCTACCGAAATATTCCATACAATTCTACCGAAATATCGTCGACTCCACCTGGAAACACTGCTTGAGACGTCGTTCGTCTCAGGTTCGTCTCGACAATGTTTCCCGACGTGTCTACCGTGTTGCGATTACTTAAGTCCAAACAGTCTGATGAATTAGAGTTCGCAATTTTTAGTCAAATTGAATGGTGAACAAAGAGTTAGATAATGACGTATTTTTGAATCGTAAGTCCAAAAAGTCGAGAGGCAAAATAGTGTCATTCAGACACAAGTCGCTCGTGTGGGCTTGCCTTAACCCATTCCAATTATTGACTAGTTCTAGTTCTGTTTTGGGGAACTTCTGGTCTCAATGTTACCAGATCTCCTGTTTTAAAAGAATCTACTGTGTTTACCTCGATGTCCTGTTTTCACTATACAATCTCCTGTTATTACAGTATTTTTTTTATACTTCTCACATGCCACGCCTAGAAAAACCTAAAAATAGATAGAGACATCGATCTCGCCATCTGTTTAACCTATGCTAAACTCAGCATAATTTGCTTAGCTAAACGTTTTCCAAATCTAGTCAAGGAGTCTGAGTTACAAAAATTAGATAATGAATGGCGATTGCTGCGCAACACTAAAATTGATTTTGACCCTGCGACCAGCTTGGAAAAATTTTGGATGTTTGTTAAAAATATGCGAATTGGAGAAAATTCCCTTGTTTTCAGTTTTATCTGATTTTGTATTTAATTTATTATGCCTACCTCACTCCTCTGCAAATGTTGATTTCACAAGTTAATTTGCTGTAAACGAAACAGCGAAATACGCTATCAACATCTAGTACTGTAGAGCTACTTTATGGCAAAACCTTCTTGAGATCAAAAAACGAATCGTGCCATTCTTTTGACTCTGGAGGGCTGTTAAAGTTACATAAAATTCGTACATGAAAAACTCCGAACTGACTGATTCAGATTCAGAGTGATTAGTACTTACTAGTTTTATTGCCAAAGTTTATTTTTATTATTGTACATTATTACTATTTATATTTGGGAAATTTAGTGTTTATTAGGTTTATCGACAAAGTTTATTTTTATATACTATTGCTATATTATTATTTGGCTGTCTTTATGTGACATTTTATTTTTTCTACGAAATAATGTAATATTTATTTACTTTCAAGTATGTTTTATTTAGTTTTCTTTGTCTTTATGAAGTTTTATGAAAGAATATACATATTTATTAAAATCTACTGTTGGGATAGACACATCCATGGCCGACTCTACTAGAGTAGAGTCCGCCATGGTACATCTGTTTTTTATGGTCCCGTCCTACTGTTGAAGGAAATATCCATCTGGCAACACTGTCTGGTCTACGGTTGGTATCGTGCATTGTATTATGGTTGGTATTCCTGCCCCCTCCCCCCTGCCTGCATGAAAGAAACTTTCTGGAAAAGTCGACATCTTGTTTCTTTTGTATAATCAATACAAAAGTTAATTTGTTGCAAAAATTGTTCCATTTTCTTCTGTTTTGCGCTAGAAGGTAAGATATGCATGGCTCTTATTCAACAGTTATCTAATTTTGTCGTTCTCTAGCAAAATGGCTGAAGATTTGGACGTCGAAGCAATGCTGGAAGCTCCCTTCAAAAAGGATGTAAGTAGACACGTCAGAAATTCCAAATTTTTTTCTATGCAGAAACCTAGCATGATAAGATTAACGTAATGCACATGGTATGAGTAGTATTCAACTTTCCGTCTGGCTTTTTCAAAACGTTCTCGTATTTATTGTTGTAAAAAAATATGCCATTTGCATTACCTTAACTACCACCACGTATTATGCAACTTCTACATGAGATCCTAATTTTATATTTTAGACTTATGAGGTTTATTTCGGCCTATCTCGGCTCCAACAATATACAGGTACAGAAACAATATAGAATAAGTTATTTTTTTATAATTATAAGTAGACAGTATTCCAAAATTTTCAATTGTAGCTTTTTCATTATTGAACTTGTGAGGAATAAAGAATATTCTGTTTAAAATTAACCTGGGTCATGTTACACTTAACATAACCAAGTATTTAGGGGTTATTGCAGGTTAGCAGGTACGCAACAGTGAATTTTGTTTTTACAAAATACCATTTTCAGGCAATACCTTGATGTCAAATACAAATGTCATTGGAGAATGATAATATTATATATATATGATATTGAATATAAAAGAATTAAAAAGGTACATTTGCCAAAAATGAGTAAATAAATAATCTAAAACAGTATCTTGGAGAAATAATAGGGAAAAAATGACAAATGGATAAAAACAGTAACTGAAACAGTATTTTCTAAAACTACATAATAAAGATCAAATAAACTAAAAACAGAATTCAGCACTGTAAAAATTTGCATCCATAGGAAAATGGTGTTTTGGTAAAACAAATTTTCATATAAAAAGAGCTCCATCCAAGATGTTTTATGTGCAGAATTACATATTGCATTATTGTGTACATGTTAATCCTACAATAACACCTAAATATGTGGTTATCTTTAGTGTACCATCTCCTTAACCTTATTCTCATCTATTTGAAAAATAGAATGGATGAAAATAGTTTCATGTAATCCATCTAATGTAGATACTGAAACTATTACACACATAGTAATAATTTGATCTAACTTTCCTATTCAAAGCTATTATACATCAATTTGCTCTGTAGCAACACAGAGTATATAGGTTCCATAATTGAATGTCAAATTTTAAGGGGATAATAAATCATTTATTATTAAGGACTGTAATACCACTTTAGATATTTTAATGGTTCGCCATACATGCATTACATAAATCAAGAGGCACATTAATGTACTTTTTTTTTTATTTACACCAGTGGAGCTCATTTGGAATTTCACCTGCGTACTTTGGCAAATATTGATAGTATTCCACTAATTTCATGTAGATCAAAAAGTATTCATCAAATCCCCCAATCATTTTCAACCATATTCAATAACTTTTTTCAATCATTGATTAACATGGTTCTACCTGAACGTAGTGAACCTAATGCTATATTCATATGTCCAATAAATGACCTGAGATGAAATGGGATACTGTACTGTCATCTGTGAAAATTTGTCACAGCTCTTTATACTCTATATACTTACTTTGTAAAGGTTAGTGTCTCAGACTAATATGCTGCCTACAAGAGCAGAAGTATTTATAGTAAATAGAGAAACAACTGTCACAAATTTTCATAGATGACTCTACAGTATCTCTTCATAATTTATGGTTGCATGAATATAGCATTATGTTGGCTATCTATCTTAAGGGTGAATATGTTAATCAATGAGTTCATGCATGGTTTTTGCTACAAAAAAATATTTCTCTCCATCATCTTAACAATATTGTTAATAAGATAATATCACCATGCAGAGAAATACATTTTATTTTCTCAGGCGAAGAATCAGCATAGGACAAACAATTTTAAGAGATCATCTCAGATCATAAATTAATACAAATTTCAATTTTTTTATACAGTGTTGTGCCAAATGATTTACACTTGAAAACTTTACCACCCTGTATCTCAAAAGTTAAGATGTCCAGGACATATGTTCGTAAAAAATTTTCTTCTTAAAATGGACAAAAAATGTTCCCATTAATTATTAACATTCAATTAGGAAATACCCTGTATACATCAGGCTGCTAGGCAAATCAATATATCCGAAAGAAAATAGAAACAATAAAAAGCATTGGTTATTTTCCTTGCTTGGCAGCATCAAACTTATGGATGAAGGGGCCATACTCATGTTCTGAGGCTTCCTTCAGCAGCTGTGCCAGTTATTTCTGAATAGAAATTACTAATGTATTGAGTCTGATTTTTACAATTCATATTCTCGATTCAACAACCATTCTTATTTTCACTGATAACAATAAAAATTGTACTGTTATGATTTTGGTTTAATCCTTATTCTTTGGAAAATATTTCAAACACTGCTAGCTTTGAGGAGCTCAGGAGGCTTAAACTAATAGAACACTGAAAAATTCAATTTTGTATGGTTGTGACATTACCAATATATGATCTACTAAACTATCAATACATTACAAGTAGCCATTGTTATGATCAGTTATTACATATGATGGAGCTCATTGAAAGTCATTATGTATAAAATGCATTTTTATTGAATAAATTGAATTATATCATTCAGAACCAATGTTAGGTATATCAATATTCTCATAACAGTTATCAACCATAAATTATTGTTATTATTCGAGTCTGAACAAAATCAAATTTTCAAGAGCTAAAGTTTTTGCCATATTTTTTATAGTGTAATTAGTCAGGAACATTAACAATATTTTTTTTAATTGCAGTATTTATTTCTAAGTCATTGTTTCTATGGTTGTGACCCTTATGCTTCTAACTATATTTTTAGTTAATGCACATTATATATGACATTTTGCCCAAATAATACATACTACAAGTAAAAGTCAATGCAAATAATTACCTCAAGTATATGGTTATCCCTTTTTTTGTGGGATACTTGACTAAATCCAAGAAATGTTTAAATATACATTTTTTGTAATGTAATGGGGTTGGACCCCTATAAATATATAAACTGGATTGCTATGACTTTCTTAGTAAACTGTTTGACATGAAAGTTTAACTAGAACTAAAGCAAAAACTAGTGTTGCAAAAGACAGATAATAAAAGCCGCTGATTTTATAGGCAATTAAAAAATGAACTATGACCATAACAGAAGAGATGATCATTACTTTCATAGCATATATTTATCAGTAAAATACCGCACAATTAAAAAAAATAAGTAAGAAAGTTCTTAATAACATCCAACAAATCAATATAACATGAAATTATACATATAAATTAGATACTTCATAAAAAATTATACAAATCTCACAATCTGACTGCTTTATATATGATTTAATTTGGTTATATGATTATATTTGTCTTTTTTCAATTAATAGGGTGCTATTTTTTAATTTGGAAAAACACTTGGAGTTAAATTACAATTTAAGATTTCACCTGCCTGTTATGCTGAAAATAAGAATGGTTCTCATATCACTACTACCTGCATTCCAAATGTCATAACTTTAATTTCTAATCATACCAATTTGCAAAAAAGTTGAAATTGATTGTCTTTGGCAATAAATTGTATTGCGTGCAACCCATCAGTCTTTAGCAAATGTAGTATTGTTTTGGCCTCATAAAAAAGCTCTTAAACAATCAGTACTTTTTCAAAATTCGTTCTGCTTTGTATCATTCCCAAGTCTAATTCTAATAAAATTTTGCAGAACCTGCTTTTCCTCAAAATACTCGTGTTTACAGATCTACATTTCATTTAAAGCAGAGAGTAAATTTTAGACATTGTTACATGAAGAGAACATCTGCATATGCAGAGCTAGAGCTATGAATAACAGAATACCAATGTATCTTTATTTTTCACTGGTTCATTTTTATTTATGAATGTAACTTTTTTCATAAATGTCAATCGGCAAAGTAATCGAGTCAGAACTATTTACGGCATACCACCAATATCCTTACGCTCATGGGTGCTTTCTCGTCATAGGGCTGCCGAGGTACAGGACGTCCCCAATCACAACCTATGCTACACAGCTTCATACCAATCACCCGATTGGTAGATCAGTGCACATATTCAATCTTGAGGTGGAGATTCGGAAAATGTGAAAGAATAAAAAGTACATTAATTTTTTAAACAGATTTACCTCTATTCGTCTGGTTTATAGGGTTTTGGCTCTGCTGTGGTCATTATTGAAATCACCAATATTTTTTAATTTGATTTAGGGAGAATTTTTGCAATGTGGAACTTTGTGATGGATCTTAAAATATTTGGTAAATTAGAAACGAATTTCTGATAATCATTTCTATTATCAGTGTTAACATAAAAATGCAGACTCAATGTTTTTTTGTGAGTTCGCAAAAGTTCTTCAGACCTATTAAGCTACTTTTTGGTAATTTGACTTAAGATCATGTAATGGTACTTTTCAGTATAGTTGTGGGCTGGGAATCGTAAAATATACATATACATAACATGTTATTTACACTTTATCACCTAATTAGAGCTTTTAGATTGCCAGATTTTCGTGCTGCCATGGAGCACTTTGACGCTCTTTTGTTGTGATGCAGCGTAAATGTCATTTAAATAGGATATATGTATATTTATATATTTGGGTTTTCCTCTGGATTGCCTCTTTGCAATCTGTCATATTTCCATGACAATATTATTGGTCCTTATAGATTCTAGAGTTTTGAAACCAGTGCACATTGTGAATTGGACTAAGCTAAACAATTTGCAAATGATAACCTATCTCAAGTAATTTCCTCATGTTTCTTATTTATTGTGTCCTCATTGCACAACTTTGGGAATTTGAAGCTCATGTACAAAATCATTTAATGTTTGCTATAAAATTTTCTATTTAAATCAACTTTAACATACACTGAAACCAAATACCACTAACTTCGTAATTTGTGCGAGAAGGTTGCAATATGTGTGTTAGAAAGAGATAGAAGTACCTGTTTCACAGACGTCATCGGCGTAATCTTTCTAACATACATATTGGACACTTGTCTCTCATATATATTACGACGTCAGCCAAATTTGAACCTCACTATATGTGCACCTGTTGACCTGTTCTGATATTGCTTTTATTTATAAGCTATAGCATGTATGTTCGAAAACTGCACACTGTTTCTTCTTAAAATGAAATAAGAATTTTGCGGTTATAGTTCCAAAAAAATTGTCATCGTTTGTGCATTTAGTAGCAAACATATTGTTTCATTTGCTGTCAGCCTTGATGTCGTCTTCAGCGCGTTGTGACATTTCATAAATCATAAATCTTTGGGCTAATTTCTATGACTTTTAGGCCTTGATAAATGCTGTGTCACACATTATGTGTCACTGATCGGATACTAAGTTAATAGGTTTATGCAGACTATAATACTTCTGAGCACTGATACTTTGGATCTCTAGGACATTAAATTGAACCCAAAGTGGCAAGGATAGAGTCGCAGTGTCGCCCGTGCATCGGCATTTTTTTAAGTTAGCATGGACAACACATTCCAAGTGGATATATGGTCAAGTGATCAGGTCGAGATTTTTATCGTACAAATCTTTCAAAGTGAGATGATATTAGAACATAGTCAGTTTTTTGAAATATTTCTACTGCTTTTTATGTATGTGTGTAGTTGACCCTGATAGTGTGCTGTAGGTGATTATGGAACTGTCAGGCATATAATCTTTCACAGTTTAGTATATTGTAAAAACAAGATACAAAACCAAACTAAGGCTTTCATTATTGCTACTTGTCACTGATGTATACAGAGTCTGAATCTTGAGCCAGACTTGTGTCAATATTATACAAGTGTGTCATTCTTAGCTCTGCCAAGAAAGATTCTAAAAGCACCTCTCTAGATATCTTAATAGTTGTTGGCATACATCTAATTTTTTCACTCATTAATTCACCTGTCAGCACATTAGTGTTATCAACGCGACAAGTTCCGGATGTATTTTCGAAAGAAGTATACCTTGAAATAAGACCCAATCCAATGTTTAGAAGAATACTTTGACTCTTTAAAAACTGGATAAAGGTTATTATATACATGAGACTGTTTCAGTGTTGAATAACTTTATATCAAAGCTCCATTTAGTCTAGCAACGAAGGCGACATCTAGACATGCATTTGTTCACTAAAAACAGACTGGCCAAAACCCTTATTAAAAACGAAAAGTTAAGAATGAAATGTTGATACACATGAAGTTGAAGGTCTTATTGGGTGTATTTTTTCAGAAGTTTTGTTCCTGCTCAAGTAAATCTGCTTCATGGTATTTGTTAAGTCAGCAGCACGGTAAGTCTAGTTCCGGGCTAGACAGCGCTATCATTTTCAGCCACATAACCCCCCATGTCCTTCCGACGATGGACCCAACAAATGAAACGAAAGAAAACATGTACCTCATATTTTTGTAATCACAATGTACATTTACAATCATGAACTGTACAAGAACAAAGATATAGTAGAGAATGAACCATGATTGTAAATATTTGTTCTAGTCAACTAGGAGTTGTATTGTAATGTTAATTGTTACTGTTGCGATACAGGGTTATATTTGATAAGCGAAGTTATTAATGCCGTTCTTTTTTCCCCCACCTGCGGGTCATCACTTGTTTGGCTGTTCATAGGATGAGCTGAACAGCAGGCATCGAGAGAATGGAGATGTTAGCAGGCATCGTTCTTCTGAGTAAGCAAACCTTTTTTCATTATAAATATCTTAACTTTGTGATAAAAATTCTTATTTAAGTCCTAGCGCATAGTCGTTCATTGAGGCCTTAATTTGACGCTTTATGTAGATTGCTCTTCTCATGGGGTGCTCTTAAAGTTGGGAAGTTCTGTTCCACAGCGTGTAGTTCTAGTATAAATAAGCAATTTTGTTAGGGTCAGATTTATAAACGTTCCTTGAGGAATCGGATCTGTTTGAGGAACGATCTTTTTTTTGATTCTGAGCAAACAATACTACTTAATGTTTGCATTTCACAGTAGGCTCTTAACAGTTGTCTATAGGCCATTATCGATTGCTGACCATATCTACATATTTTGCGTTTTGATGATAATTTTGGAAGTCTTGCTTGCTATGTATATCGTCAATTTGCGGCGGGTGTTCTTGAAATACTGACTACTAGACTTCGAAGTGTACGCAGATCTTTATGAGTTTTTTTTCACCGCTCATGTTTATCTTTCATAATGAGCTGGGGATACAGGCAGTTTTGCGGAAACGAGTTAGGGATAAAAAACGAAGCAATAAAAATCGTTTAAACTTAATTTTTTCTCGGTTCGAAGACTTTGGTCATTATCAGACAAACATTGTAGTGGTCAAAAGTTGGAGGTTGGGTATTGTTAGGTACATTAATAGTTCAAACCTAAAATGATAGAGGAATATTTTCAACACAGGCGTCTCTGGACAACTTGCTTAATTATAGTATGTCCAATTGGTTCGTAAAATAATTGAAGTTGTGTTTATACATAATGTATCCATCCTTTTTCTTAAATAGTGCGTTTTAATTCAAGATAGTTAATTGTTCAAAAAAATATATATTGTAAAAAACCTAGGGTTAATCATGGCAACGTTGCCAGATAGTCGGTAGCGCAAGGGTGTCAAGTGGGCGCGAATTATGGACCAATTGTATGGCCTGCTTTACTGAATTGATCCAATTAATTTTTGTTATACATATGCGTAGGTAACTTTTCAAAAACCTTATTTTTTATGAACTGATGTCAGCGTTGCCTGGGAAGTGCAATCTGTTTTATTTCACTGCTATTTAATTCGATATTAGTTTTGTCATTAAAAATGTAGTTGTTGTTAGAACTTCAGAATAACCCGTATTTTTATTGCCCGACTGCCTCAGAAGGAGAGATATCTGTTTCACGCGTGGGTATCTATGTATCCAAGAAGATCTATTTCTTGGGTTGTATGCCGAATGGTTTGATGGATTTTGACATATATGGTGTCGTTGGATTCGTCTTAGCACTGGCTGTTTTAAAATTCCACATAATAGAAATGGCGGATTTTAATAAAAAATAAATTAAAAAATTCCGATTTTACGGGCTGCATCTGAAATTTCTTGATAGAGTTTGACATATCGAGGTGTCTCTAGATTTCTACTGATAGCAGAATCTTCATTATTTTTATTTTACTTTTTAAAAATTGTCCTTGTTAATCAACCATTCCCATAACGTCGAGATCCAAGTAGAAATTTCTATAGTAAGTAATCCACAAATGACTTAAATAGAATCTAAATTACACTGTTGTCAATAGCGGAAGTAAGAAACGTAGCCGCAGTCGTAGCGGCAGCCGATCGAGGACATCCCGCCGCGGCAGCCCCAAGAATGGCGGTCGCAGGAGCGGCAGCAGAAGCAAACGGAGCCTGAGCAGAGGAAAACGGAGCGTTAGCAAAGGAAGAAGAAGCACCAGCAGAAGGAGGAGCACCAGCAGAAGAAGGAGTACGAGCAGATCGAGAAGAAGCAGGTATTTTACGTAGTTCTATATGTAAATAACTATTACAACCGGTCAAGGTCTGTAATTCTGGAGGCGCCGGGCTTGGAGGGTTTGCACTCGCTCTAGTCATTGTCCGTAGCAGTTTTCTCTTGATAAACTTTCCTACAGAGAGCGTTTTGTCAAGAGCAGAGGTTTTTCGGTGGTCAGATCATAGGTTGACAGTCAGAATGATTGGGGAAAAGTTACAGATCAAGAACAACAATAAACGGATAAAAAAGCCAGTAAAAACATTCCAGCGGCTCCTCAGCCTTCTTATTCGCCTGTCTTGAGTCCTTGCGAAGTTGAATAAATCACACCAAGGGAACCACTTTGGGATAGTCAAAAACATTCAAATGGCTGTAACTGACCAGCTTGCAGTATCAGAGTTCCATCACTGCTATGGGGAGTGGAAGAATCGTCTTCAGAAGGAAATTATTTTGAGTATGACAATATATAATTTTAATTATATCTGAATGATAGAATTAAAAAAAAAATCAGTCTCATCACTTGATTTACAGATCCTCGTACGTTTATAAATGAACTTTCTCTGACTCCATTACAAAACGGTTTTTACTTGAAGAATGGCTATCGTATAGGTGCCAAAATGTTTGCCCCCCCACCTGTATTTCTTACGTAATAAGCGTGTCACTATTGATTTCAGATCAAGGGAGAGGAAGCGCGACAAAGACAAGAAACGCGCAAGCAGCCGGTCGCCTGACAGAAAACGCAGGCCGAGCAGCAGATCGCCGCCCCCGCGTGTACGAGGCAGAAGCCGAGAGAGGGGGCGTGGAGGCAGGAGCAGTCGAAGCAGAGATAGAGATAGAGGAAGTAGCATCAAACGGAGGAGTAGCAAGAGCAGGGAACCGAGGAGAGCTAGTCCTCCACTGCCCATACCGAGAAGGAGATCACCGACGCCGCCCCCAGTCTCTAAGCCGCCATTTGGGTATGTGACTTTTTTGTTACTGTTACGCCGGCTCCATACGTTGGCCCCAACGCCACTCGCCCATCGTGTGTATCTAGAAAATAGCGTTGGCCCCAACATTGGAGCGACCGTTGGTAGTTGGCTGTCGATTGTCGGTTTTATCAAAGGAATCTGCGCCAACCTTCGCAATCCGTCCACATATTGGCTCACTGTTTCAGTCTTGTAACACGCGTCGAGTGCGTATGTGGAGATATGTCATCAACAACATCGCTACCCGCGTGGACAAACGAAAAAGTTGTAGAATTTTTAGAGTTATACCAGGCGCATCCAAGCGCTTAGAGCAATTTCGGTGTCGGACATCTTCACATTGGCTCTGACAGAAAGGAACTAGTATAATGACCAATGTGTGGACGCTTCACCAACTTAACCGACCAACGTTGGTACCAACGTTGGGGCCAACGTGTGGAGCCGGTGTTAGATGAGGCGAAGGCGAAGTTTGTAGACTAAAGTGTAGGCCGCACGGGTGTACTGTTTTTCAATATTGTTTCTTCCCAATAAGGAATTTCAGACTATCAGACTGTCGAATAGCGTCATCCAAACAAATTAATGATACGGTGTTGTTTAGCACTTCATGTTTTTGTGTGTTGTTTTGGGTAATGTTTTATGGTGTCGCTAAATCCCTAATAATATTACAAATCAGTAAGTGTCGATGATTGTTCGACAGTTGACAATGACATTGACTATGAGCTTCAAGGTCAAGTGAAAATTTTTACATTGGAATTAAACAGACAAGCAAATTTTACGCCTGAACTCTACTTTGGCCATGACCTTGACCATAATTTTCAAAGTCAACCCAAGGAAATCAAAACATCTAAAACAATTTTCTCTAGCAAAAATGTTTGTCAGTGCAGTTGTCGGGATTACCAAAAGGTGACCTTGACCATGACCTTCAAGGTCAAGTCAAAACTACCAAAGAAACCTCTCATGTTTATACTGGAAATAGAAAAAGCAGATTTGCGCCCGAATGTGACCTTAACCTCAAAGTCAAGGTCGTTTCAAGCTTAAGTACTATTTCATGAAATGTGTATGTTTCCAGGAAAAGAGGTCGATCTCCGCCGCCGGGAATTCGCAGCGGATCTCCTTTAGAGGAACTGAGTCCTGAAGAACGAGATGCCAGGACCGTGTTTGTGATGCAACTCTCTCAAAGGATACGAGCTCGTGACCTAGAAGAGTTTTTCAGTTCAGTGGGTAAAGTCAGAGATGTCAGAATGATCGTTTGCAACAAGACCAGGCGATTTAAAGGCATTGCCTACATAGAGTTTAAGGATCCGGAAAGCGTCGCTTTGGTAAGAAATATTTTGTTTCCTTTTTTTTGCCAATCTGCCTCTAATTCTGACATGTTCCTTTACATGTTACATACACTTTACTATTTTCAAAGTAGATTTCTAAAATCATTCTTGCTTTCTGCTACTGTATCATAGATGGCATCACTAGCTTTCAGATCTCTTTTTGGATGGCAGAATACAGCATATGGGTGGTAGAATATGTTAATTAAGCCTGATAGTGCGTCGTTTTTCTAACTAATGATATTTGTCACATCTGAAACTTATCCTGTGATTTTCATGTTAATAATCCATAATATTTCTCCAGCCAATCAAAACCATATGTGTTGTAAAAACATCTTTATAGTAAGTATTTTGGTCACAATAGTGTCTTTCAGTACCAAAACTAAAAATATATTTCATTGATTAGTCTTCCAGGTGAAACTTTGTTTTTTCTGTTCAGTTTCATATCTCTATATGATGTATAACTACAATTGTGTGAAAGGTCCCATAACATGCGGAGATTGTGCAAAGCCATCATTCAAAATTTCAAGATGGCACTGTGCAAAATAATCTACCAAATGAAACTAAAAACATAAACAGCTTACACAAATTTAAAAAGACCAATATGTAGTCTCTAATACAGACATAGCCTTATGCCATAGATGAGTTCTATGTGAGCTGTAATAATTTCAAGTTGTACAGTAGCGGAAAACTTTGGAAACATTATTAGTCATTTTTAAAAGTTCGCTAATTGTTTATTCTTTACTATTTAAGGACTATTTTTGTTCTAATATAGTTGGCTTATAGTCTTGAGGATACAAATGGCAATTTTGTTTGCTGTGGTACTAGCATTAAAATATCTTCATATTGTTTTATGACCAAAAATGAGACGACAAAAGTATGGAAACGTATTTTTTTTATTACAATTAAATACAATAACTTTACAAAAAGATTTAAAAAACACTGTTTAGCTAATATTTGGTAGCATAGCATATTTAACACTGCCTGACATCTGCTGCTCACAGAAGACACCAGTTTTTTACAGCTGTCTGTTGTCATATTTTGCCAAATATTTTTTACATAACCAAATAAATCATTCCTATTTTTAAAAGTTTTCTTGTCAGTTGACTTTTAACATGCTCCCAGAGATGTTCTATAGGGTTTAGGTCCGGGAATTGCGAAGAGCATATAAGAACATTAACATTTTTTAGTCTTAACCAGTCGTTTACGAATTTTGAGGTACAGGGTTTGTCCGGAAAGTAATAGGACTCATTTTCTTCCGCCATGACTGTACTTCGAAGCGTGCGCGCACCGACTGGATTCGGTAGAGGGCGTTCCTAGCTAACGAATGAGCGGCTGGTCAGTTATCTCCGAGCACTTGGAGAGTAAGGACAGGCATTTTCGCGCGACGTGTTTCCGTGAGTGGTGCAAGCCGAAAATGCAGCGTTCGTTAGAGCAGAGGTACGCGATTAAATTCTGTGTGAAACTCGGTAAATCTGCGACAGAGACGTTTGATATGATCAAGCAGGCTTACCCAGGTGTTGCTTTAGCAAGAAGTGGTATGTTTCGGTGGCACCAGGCCTTTTTGGAGGGCCGGGAAGAGGTCGCTGATGAAGATCGTGCTGGAAGACCTTCGACTTCGACAAACACCGATAATGTGACTCGTGTGCGCAAAGTTTTGAACTCAGACCGTCGACTAAGTAATCGTTTAATTGCCCAGATGTTAAATTTACCAAAATCTTTGGTTCATGACATTGTGACACAGCATTTGAACATGCGCAAGTTATGCGCGAAGATGGTCCCTGACGACCAGAAATTGCGACGAGTGGAAGTGTGCCAAGAAAATTTGAACATGTGTGAAAGTTACCCCCCAATTTTTGAATAACGTAATCACAGGTGATGAGTCGTGGATCTTTGAGCATGATCCCGAGACAAAGAGGCAATCTCCTCGCCCAAAAAAAGGGAAGAATGAGCAAATCCAAAGTGAAAATGATGCTCATTGTCTTTTTTGACATCAAAAGGCATCGTCCTCCATGAATTTGTTCCTCCTGGACAAACCGTCAACGCCAAGTATTACGTGGAAGTGCTCAGGAGACTCAAACGAAGGGTCAGTCCCCCCCCCCGGACTTTTTTTTTTGTTTCCTCGTTTGAAAAGGCCGATGAAAGGCAAGCATTTTGAGACGACAGAGGGGATCCAAGCAGCATGCACCGCGGCTCTCAAGGCTATTCCGGACAATGCCTTCCGTGACGCCTTCAATGCTTGGAAATCGCGCTGGCAGCGCTGCATCGACGCAGAAGGAGCCTATTTGAAAGTTTTTAAAGAATTGTAACGATTGGCTCAATAAATTTTTTTAAATCGACTCAGTCCTATTACTTTCCGGACAAACCCTGTATGCTTGGAGTTATTAACTTGCTGGAATGTCCATCGTAAAGGCATTTCTTCTTCAGCAAAAGGGAGCATGTGTTCAGTAAGAATATCTTGTAAAGTTTTTGATCAATTTCTCCAACAATTTTAACAATTGGGCCCTTTCCAGAACTAGAAAAACAGCCCCAAACCATGATGTTGCCTCCACCGTGCTACCTGTTGGCACTTATACTTTTTGTCCAATTTTTTTTTCGTATTGGACGTCTCACATATGCCGAACCGACAGATCCAAATAAGTTAAATTTGCTTTCATCGCTCCATAAAACTGTATTCCATGTTGTTCTGTCCAAGTTAGATGAGTTTTACCAAATTCAAGCCGAGCAATACGATTTTTTTCCAAGCGTCTCTGCACTGTTCTGACAGAAAGATTCTCGGCACCCTCTTCTACGATTCTTTTGAAAACCTGTATGGCTGGCATTCGAGAATCTTCATGGGACAAACGCTTAATGCAGCTATTCAAAACATAATCTGTTTTTTCGGTCTTCTGCACCTGGGCCGCATTGCTTTTGGTCCGTATTCTTGATATTTACTAATAATTTTCGAAATCCCCATCTTTTATTTTGAGAAATTTCAACATTCTAATTAAATTACTTTGTCACTTAAATCTTTCAAATTCTTTTACTTTTGCCATTCTTACTGATGATAACATTTACCGCACGCAATATGAGTATCGCAGAACGAATAAATATGGCACAACTGAAATTTTTCCATACTTTTGTCGTTACAAAAACTGTGGTATTTAAAAACGCGTGTTTTTATTTTCAGCGAATTTGAATATTGATAAGATAAGCGGAGCCAAACGTAGACTTTAATATTTATATTATCTGTTCCTTCACAATTTTAATTTAGATATATGGAATAGTTCATAATAATGTTAATATTTGTTTCCAAAGTTTTGTCCGCTACTGGAGATATATAACTGTTATACATGGAAAAAGGTCTGAAGTGAACTACTATAGTGGTGTCATTGACGTAACATTTCATGTGTGTGAGTGTGTAGTGGCTATACAATTTCTGTATTGTCATTGTACAATTTGAAATATAGATTATTATCATTATTAAAACCAGCATAACCGAGGACCGTTCCCAAAAGAGGACGTCCGGACGTCCACTTCTCCAAAACGACCAGTAAATATGAGGTTATCTATTTTTGGCGTCTTTGGGACGATGGACTAGGATGACTATCTGGTACATTAAAAACAGAAGGGATGATATAACCTCATGCTCACTTGTCCTTTTGGAGGGTTGGCTGGCTTTTTTGGGAACAGGAATGCCTACCCTAGGCGGTCCTGGGCTATGCTGGTTTTGCGTGGTGCCATCTCAATATTTGGAATGAGGACTCCTAGCAATCTCAGCATGTTACAGGGCCTTTTTCACACTATTGTAGTAACATACTGTTTAGAAATATGAAAATGAAGAGAAGTAACAGAAACGTTTACAATAAAGATTTTTTCAACGCATGTGGTTTTGATGCTAATGATATTTGGTTTTCTCTTTCCAGGCGCTAGGTCTATCTGGCCAAAAATTGCTGGGCATTCCCATCATAGTGCAGCACACTCAAGCTGAGAAGAATCGAATGGGAAATTCGATGCCCATGATGATGCCCAAAGGCATGACTGGACCAATGCGATTGTACGTTGGATCGCTGCATTTCAACATCACTGAAGATATGCTCAGGGGTATTTTTGAGCCATTTGGTAAGATTGAGAACATCCAGTTGATTATGGATCCGGAAACAGGGAGGTCTAAAGGATATGGCTTCATTACAGTGAGTATACTTTAATTACGTTTATAATTATTATAGTCCAAGACCAATCATTTTATACTCAGTTTATATCGGAATGTTTAGAACGCGATTATGTGGTAGACTCAATTTATACAGATTTTTCAAAAGCTTTTGATGAGCTCAATCACAGCATTATTTTCAGTAAACTCTCAAAACTTGGCATGCAGGGGTCCCTACTTGAATGTTTAAAATATTTCCTAAGTGATAGAAGCAAGTTGTCAGGGTGAATGATTATTTGTCTGATGCTATTTTTGTGTCTTCTGGAGTTCACATGGAGCACATCTTGCACCACTGCTTTTTAATCTATATATGAATGATATGTGATTGTTTTTATACTACTCTAAATTTTATATGCTGATGATTTAAAAATATTTTGCGATATTAGTGATGTATTATTGGTGTGAGAGTAATAAGCTTTATGTTAATATAGATAAATGTATGTGTATTCAATTATCCAAATCTTTAACCATATCAGAAAATACTGTCGATAGGGCTATCTTAAAAAATT